AAGGGGTGTTAAAAATTTGATATTTCCACTTCAATTGCACCTATCATAATTTGTTGAAAGATGTTAAAAACTTGATATTTTTGAAACAACCATGAAGCTAAAATGTAAAATTAGTAAAAAGAAAATAATTTTGAAATTCTTACATATTAGACATTTACTTTTCTTGCAAATTTTTCCTTTGTTCTTCTATGTTTAAAACTGTTATTAGAAGTCTTGAAGCTGTTATATCAATTTATTTTTTTAACAAATTTCAATAAATTTATCCACCACTGCTAAAGTGTCCATAAGTTTGTTTTGATACCTACTATGCCCCTGTTTTATCCTCTCTTGCAAAGTACAATTATAGGCATTTCTCAACTATCAAAAGGATGTTAAAATAAATGTTAGCAATGATAAAATAAAACACAATAAAAAAGTTTACCATCACAACTTATGAGAATTATGTTTATATCAACTCCATTGTTAAACTTGCACAATACTTTTGACACTATTATCTTGGCAAAAGACATAATAACAATAAAATTTATAATTACCTTCAACTAATAATTTCGTATATAGATTCATATGGCACTTTTAGTAAAATTTTAAATATTCTAGAATAAATTATATATTAGTTTAAGAATAAAAACATTATAAAAACTGTATTAAAATTAAAAAGCTAAAGTAAAAAAATAAATATATTAAATTTAGATATAGTTAATTTATATAATATTTATATGGAGTTTCTTTTGTTATTTTAATAAATATACTTCAAGAATAGCCGACTTGTTTTCAAAGAGTTGCAAAAGTTTACAATGAACAGTATTACTATAAATGTTTGCATTTAGGCTAGCAAAACTTTTATTTAAAATTGCTGAAAAAATTGAAACAAAAAATATAATATACAATTTATAAACTTTATACAAAATTCCATAGTTTTTCACTAATGAATATCTTGTGAAAGTTTAACAACTCATATGTCAATTTTCCCTCCACTCTTCTTTAACATTTCAATTACATCTATCATAATTTGTTGCAAAATGTTAAAAACTTTATATTTCACGAGCAAACATAATTTTTCAACAAAGCTAAAATGTAAAATTAGTAAAAAAAAAGAATATATGATTTTCTTGCAATTTTTTTCTTTCTCATTTTATATTTAACATTGTTATTCTTGATTGAGGAAATCTCAATTTTTTTTTAAAATTTTTTTTTAACACTATTATCATAATGTCTATAAGTTTGATTTAATAGCTTTCATATCCTTGACTCTATAATATTTTATTTATTACTAGTTTTCTTCTATAACAAGTTTATTGGGATGTGTTGTTTGAAATACAACATTTTTTACCATTAATGAAAAGTTCAAAGACAAAAAAAATTTAAAAAACTATACGACATTAAAATTTAAAAAATCATATATATATATATATATATATATATATATATATATATATATATATATATATATATATATATATATACAAATATATATATAAAATGAGAGGATGTAATATATGTTAATTTTCTTTTTAGTTTATATTTTAATGTTTGATTCTTCTTTTCACTCTATGTTGTTTTCTAAAAACACTGTTACAACTAAGGAAATAAATACAAACGTGTCACATTATGAGCCTGAGATTTTTGCAAAACCTAGCAAATTCATTAAAAAAGATTTTTTTAGTAAATGCTATTTTATTTTGTGGTCTTTTCACATATTTTTTTATACTTGTTTTTTACAACAAGCTTAGTAGGATATATTGTGGGAGACACAACATTACTTGTTGCGGGCCAAAAGTTCACAGTAAAAAACCAACAAAATCAAAATTTATGATTTAAAAATCAGAAAAACTAATGACAAAAATAAGTTATAAATGTATGTTTAAAATGTTTTATAAACTTTTTTTTTGCAAGAAATATCATAAAAATTTGGTGCATTTATAACAAATTGTGAAAAACATATGAATAATATTTATAAGAAGTTTGAGTTAAAACACTTTTTATAACTTAGAAATAATACTGAATTTAAAAAGATTATATACAAAATTTAATTAATTTTTATCTTTTAATTTTTATATATGTTACTTTTGAATTTAAATTCAAAATTATTATAAAAAGTTTTAAACCTTAAGAAAATTTCAAGCAGAGCAGACTCTCAAAACTTTTTTACATTATTCAAGTTAAATTTTCTAAGTTAACACAAAATAAACAGTTTTTAGACAGAAACTAGAAAGAAAGAGTAAGAAAAAAAAAGAGGAAATAAAACAAAGAGTGCTTGCTTGCTTGCTTTTAGCTAACCAGCTCAGTCCCTCTCAGGCTTGTAAAAGAGTGAAGGCGATCTCTCACGAGAATGCCCACGAAAAAGCCCAGAGAATAGCATAGAAGGCTGCTCGCAGAGGGTGGAATGCAAACTTAGCAACAGCGGTGCTACCAAGATTTGCAAGAAAAAAATACCCCGGAGCAACAGCATCTAGCTACAAAAACTGGTACACTTGGATGGAACCACCAAGCCTAAGGAGCTAGAAAAAGAAGAAGCAGCTCGCACGCCCCCTAAAAAACAAACCAAAAGGAGAGGAACTAGATGATCACTGACCAGCGTCATGGTGTCTTGAGGCCGAGCGTCATGACCGTGGCCAGATTATTCCTTAGCCGCCTCCAAACCGGTGCTTAAAAGGTGACCGTCTTGAGAAAATCCCGAAGGGCTCGCACCAGTTCCTCGGGTGCCAGATGAAACTCCTCCTCCATCTGTGCATAAAAAAATAACTTTGGATCGGTACGAGAAAAACAAAACGAGAAGGTACCTGTGCGGTGAAAGTGAAGTCGTGAACAGTGTCCGAGAAGGACAGTGCGCTGGCGTTGATCACCAGCAAGTTTAGCTTCTCCAGCTCTCCCAGGCACTTGACCAAGAGGCCCTTGCGCTTCTCGCAGTGAACTCTCACCAGGACGTTCTTCCCCATGTAGCGGGCTTCGATCTCCGGAGGACAAAAGTCGTCGTCCGACACGCTCCCGTATTTGTCCTCCTGCTTACTGCCGCCGTGCATTGGAACAGACTTCTTGCAGTAGGCAACGGACTGGACGCCTTTCCTGGAGACGTGCTCCTCAAGAGACTTCAGCCTTTCTTGCAGTTGCTTGACATACTTGATCGCGTCGCCAAGAACCGAGGCCTTGTCCATCTAGAGGAAACATATTCCATCACGTCAAAAAAGCACGACCCATTTTAAAACACAGAGCAAGTGATAGCGTACCTTTTTCAATCCCGGAACAATGGCGGAGAGTGCGATGAAACGTTGACTGAGCTTCTCTCTCCGCTTCCGTTCGGCCATGATGTGATCCAGCGTGTGCCCGGATGTCTTTCCCTGTGGGGACGACATCTTGGCGGCACTTGGAGCTTCCTGCTTGATCGCCATGGGACTGGAGAGCTTCTCCACGGATGCCGCCGAGGAGAGCGTGTCCATGACTCGGTTGTAGTCCAGGAAAGAGTTCTCCTGAACCACTGAGCCTGGCGAGCCGCCGACCTCGACCTGGATCGTAGGAGTCTGTGGTGCCACCGTCTCGTAGCCCTCGTCTTGTAGCATTGGGAGATAAGATCCCAGACCTGGAAACCTCTTGTGCTGATACTGGAACCGGCCGCCAGTCTTCATGTTCTTCGAGTCTTGCAAATAGAGAGGAGGACCGCCGTGTGAGAAGCCTTGGTACTGTTGCTGCTGTTCCCAAGCATTCGACTTTACCATCTTGGCTGGTCGCTCGTAGCAAAGGTAGTCGTCCACAGTGATATCGGACCTCTGGCGAACACCCAGCTGGGCTCGAGCGAGAGACTCCCCAACTTTGTACTCGATTCCTCCAACCTCGTTGTTGCCACCACCACTTTGCCATCCCATGAGAGCGGCCAGATGCTCCGAGGCTGGAGCCGAGAGAGTCACAAGGTTAGGATCTTCCATGCCCTGCAGCAAAACAAAGAGATCCGTGAGCAAAGAAGAGCAAACGAAAGAACTCCAGACCATTTCCGAGAGCCATTGCACTGGGCAAGTGGCTGGCGAGCGTAGAACCTCCATCCGGTGCCAGCGCCCTTTCTTCTCCAATCTGGCGATCAAGCAACACAAGCACAGCCACGCTTCACGAATCAATAGAATCGAGAAAACGAAAGGAAGAGAAAGACAAGGAAAAAAGTCCAAGCTACAGTGGCGAGGGAGGACTAGTGCTCTTCGCCGTCAAGCGAGGACGAGAGAGGAGCGAATCAGTGCCTCGACACCCTACCTCTTGCGAAGCGGAGCTCCAAATTCCCGGGAAATCGCCTCGTGGCGAGCTGCAAACACCGCATTTCAGCGCCATTGCACGGATTCCAAACGGCGATCGATCGGCATCCATTGATCGCTCGAAATCTTGGGGTAGAATCACAACGCACCTCTCACGGACGCGCTCGTCGCCGCCTTCCTTTGCCCCGGCGCAGTAACGAACGGAGGTTTCTTTTAAGTGGGCTGAAGCCCCCCAAAAGCACAGTGTCCTTGCGCAGCTCACGTTTACACTGCAAGGACTGGTGACAGGTGTCATCCATCGGCCCAGTGGCAAAAGCATAACATATACCCACTACCGTTGATTGGCCGCATGCCCAACTAGTTAAGCTACCAATGCATTCACATGGACAAATTGGAGATTCTAGAATATTTTACAGATCCCCAGAGTGGGCGATCATATCCAAGATCTCCATTTGATTACTCCAAACAAAAGAACACTGGGCGCAAACTTTGGATCGATCAAAGAAAAAACTCCGGCGTTTGTTATTTTAGTCGCGGCTCTTCTCGGACTTGCAACGTGACAAAACACCACTTGCGAAAAGATTCCATGGCATATTCTATCGCATCCCAGGAGATTCCTTTGTCTTGAATGGCTGGTAAAGCTGAGGTTTCATGTGTAGGCACTCCCGCAAAGGCTACGTAGATATCTTCCCCTTTTGTGTGGAAAAAATATCACATGCTTCATGGCCAAGGAGACGAGCCACGTGGTGGTAAAGGTAAAAATCTCACTAAATGGGAAAAGCATTTTTATCTTTATCTTTCCAGAAGGAATCTTTTCAATCATATATATGATCATTCCTCCCATTGCGCCACGTCACGCGAGCTGATCTGGCGAGCACTTAACTAACAAAGCCGGCCAATGTTGACGATGGAAGTTAACAAGAAAACGCGTCAAGCACGATGGAACATTCCACCGTCTGTTAGGGCAAAAAAAATGGGCTATGAGTCAGCATCGTGACGCGGATGCCGCGTGGCAGACTTGTCCAGCTCAAGCTCTCCCACCACTCGGCCATTCTCGAGCCTGATCCAAGTTCTCGGTTTCTCGCCGGAGTTCTCGGACAGTTCTATCACTCTCGCGCCTCTCGTCCAGCTTCCATAGCCTCCATAGCCACTGTGCCGAGCAAAACACAGCCAGAGGCCGCCACTGCCGCTTGGGCAGCACCAATCCAGGCCGTGGTTATGCCCGACCACCACTGCCTGTGTGATAAGATTCATAGAACTGTTAGAATCGATCGAGAAGTTTTGTAGCGAGTGATCACTTACCTTTGCCGATGGTCTCTTCGCGAGAATGCCCATGATTCCCCACTCGGCCGACTGGCTCGCGACGTTTTCCTCGTTGAGGGATCCGATGCATGGAGCCGCTATGGGCGAGCTTGGCTTTGGAGCCACGGATTCGTAGGCCTTGCTTGGAATGTGCCAGAAGACGAGCTCTTGCGTCCTGGACAAAGTTCCAAAGCGTTATTCTACCAGGAAAGTTGGAAAACTTGGATCGAGCAAGAAGGCTTAACTGGTTGTCGGGGTTGAGAGCTGCCGAAACATCTCGGAACCAAGATGCTTGTTTCGCGGAGATGACTTGCGGGTAAGAACCGCCACCCGAGTCCATCAAGTAGAGAAGTGCTGCTGTGGATCCCGGTTTCCTGTGAGACGCAATTGGAAGAGCGAAGTTGGAGACGCTGGGCCAGAGTGATGGCGGGCCTTGCACGGAAACGGACAATGCACTCTTGAGATCTTCTTCCATGAGCTCTGCACGACTCGTGCCTTGGAAGTAGGCGTAATGTCCTGGACAAGGGAAAAAAGAAAGTTTTTCGATAGTTCAACTTGATGATGATCTAAAGTCTACTTGAGAGATTGCTTTTACCTGGTGATGCTCCAGGAACTCCGGAAGGTCCAAACCACTGTGCGGGCCATTCGAAGGGCGCGTCATCGTGGTTCCCAAAAACAGCCGCCCATGGAATGCTTCTCTTTGCGGTGGCCTCGGTTGCCTGCTTCCAGTACTTTGTAGCATTCTTCACAGGAAGATTGTTGGCCGTCAAAACATCACCCAAGAAGACCACCAAGTCTGCAAAACAACCCAGCTCTCAATCAAACTAAATGAAAGATAGATCTTGGCGAGTTTTTCCCCCAGTTTTTTCTCACCTGGCTTTTCAGCATCGAGAATGTAGGACATGACTCGGTCGGATTTTCGGTCCTGCTCCGGCCCCCAATTCTCCCAGGCATTCTCTCCAAAGTGCAAGTCTGCGAAAGCGACGATCTTAAACTTGCCTGTGGCTCCATCAAAGCGCAGCGATCTTTTGGGCGAATCCTGGCATGTGGCACGGAGCAAGAAAGAGATGATGAGCGCGACGGAGATCACCACACCACCCATCTTACAAGGAGCAGCATATACTAAGACGCATATACCATTCATCATAAGAAAAGTTAAAATTTAAAGGAGTGTTTCCATGTTATATTCTCTTAGAATAATCACTCCGTACTTAAGGTCGTGGCATGAATTTTGCCACGTGGTACCCACGTCAGACAATGTGATCTGGCAAATCCATTATCCGGCTATGGCTTGCTCAGCGTCAAGAGCGATCCATCCGGTAGCTTGGGCTCGTCCAGAAGTTCCATCTCCATCACCTTCTCGTCACAGGTGACAGATAAAAATCCAGGCGTTTTTCTTTTTTATGATCGGTTTTGCAGCCAAGGGGATCATGTCAAGCTGCCTTCCGCGGCAAACGTTGCTCAACGCGCTGCAGTGGCGGCGGCTGTTCTAGTCCTATGCACGAACACGAGCGAGGTAAGAAACACTTCTTTAAAGATCACGCACAAAACGTTTCGAGAATCTGGAGTTCTCTAACAGGCCATGGAGCAGACGGCCAATGTTGATCATTCCTTGGTGTCCACGATCAGTTCGAGCGAAGAAGAAAAGCCGCCGCCATTTATGATGGCCGGGATGACCGCCAAGAACTTTGATCCCGCCAGGTATGCCGGTCGATGGTTTGAAGTCGCGTCTCTCAAGCGAGGATTTGCCGGACAAGGCCAGGAAGATTGCCATTGCACACAAGTAAGTTCCAAGTTCTCTCGTTCTCGCTTTGAAACTCTCTTCTTCTTCATGGGCTTTTCATCTGAGATCCTGTACAGGGAGTGTATCGGTTCGACGAGGCCAACCGAGCGCTCCAAGTGGACACATTTTGCGTGCATGGCTCCCCCGATGGATACGTGACGGGGATCAGAGGTAAAGTCCAGTGTACCGCGGACACCAGCCTCAAGCGCGAGGTGGCGGCGCTGCAAATCGAAGGTGGCGTCTCCGAGAGGTGCTACCTTCGCTTCCCAACGCTGCCATTCATCCCAAGGGAGCCATACGACGTGATCTCCACGGACTACGACTCGTACGCTCTTGTCTCGGGAGCGAAAGACACGAGTTTCGTCCAGGTTGGTTGCTTTTCTCGAAGCTTTTCGAAGATCTCCTCCATTTTTTCGATGATCCAACTAGATCTACTCGCGGACTCCAAACCCGGGGCGAGAGTTCATCGACAAGTACAAGGCATTCCTTGGAGAGCTGGGATATGACGACGCTGCGATCAAAGACACGCCTCAAGACTGCCAGGAGATGTCCATGGGCGATTTGTCAGCGATGATGGCAGCTCCCGGGATGGAAGAGATGATGAGCAACACTTTCTATCCTCCTCCACTGGGCCTCACCAAAGCGGTGGAGTTCAATCCATTCACGAGCATCTTTGACACCCTGAAGAAGCTTGTCAAGCTCTACTTCTCGTGAATCTGATCAAGACAAAACTTTCTTTTGATCGTGAAAAGTTTTCCTTGTCTTTGATTTACGCGTCGTTTTCACTTCTTGGACTTTCGGCTATGGCGGAGGTTCCCTCCTTGACGCTCAAGAGTCCTTCGCACATCGCCATGCCGGCTCTTGGGTTTGGCAGTGGAACCCGAAGTGACTCCCAGGAGATCAGCGACGCTGTTGTTTGCGCGATCAAGGTATCTTTTTCCCCCTCTGCTACAATGGAATGCTAGAACTTTGTTCCTCCAGCTTGGATATCGGCACTTCGACACGGCCAGTGTCTATGGAACCGAGGCTGCGATTGGAGCCGGCCTCGCACAGGCTATGGATGCCGGCCTCGTTACAAGACCCCAGCTTTTTGTCACTTCCAAGCTCCATAGCGACATGCACGACGACGTTCTTGGAGCTGTGAAAACAAGCCTCAGGTATTCATCTCTTTCTCTCTTTTCAGCTCATTCTAGCTTTTTCTTTCCTGTGTTTCTCCAAAGCAATCTCAAGCTGGACTACTTGGATCTATATCTGATCCATGCTCCACTTAAGATAAGAAGAACGAACTACGCATCCTTTCCAGCCGAGGAAGACTTCTTGCCATTAGATTTAAGAGGCACTTGGCAGGGAATGGAGGAGTGCTTGCAGCAGGGTCTTGCTCGAGCGATTGGAGTGAGTAACTTTAGCGTGAAAAAGCTCCAGGACTTGATGGAGCATGCCAAAGTCATCCCAGCAGTTAACCAGGTAGCCACATCTTTCACTCCTCTATAGCAAAGATCACCATAACATTCGCTTGTGTGTTTCCAAAAGGTTGAGCTTCATCCAGTGTGGCAGCAGCGAAAGCTTCGAGACTTTTGCAGCAGCATGGGGATCCAAGTCGTGGCATGGTCTCCACTGGGTGGTCTTGGAAAACCATGGGGCTCTCGCAGCGTTTTAGACAATCCAGTCGTTCAAGAGCTCGCATCCAAGTACCAGAAAACTCCAGCTCAGGTGTGTAGCAAAGGAAAAGTTCCTGGAAAAGTTTTTTCATCTTGTTTTCCAGATAATTCTTCGCTGGATCACCACGCTCGGACTCGGTGCCATCGTCAAGAGCTACAACCCCGATCGACTCGCGCAAAACCTCCAGAGCTTCGACTTCTCTCTGAGCGAGCAAGATCTGGCAAAGATCGAAAGCATCGCTCCGCAGGAGAGGCTGGCGAAGTGGAAAGAGCTGTGTAACTCCACAACCAGTCCATACAAATCTCCACACGAGCTATGGGATGGCGAGCTCTAGCTGGAGAACTTTGCTAAGCTCTTCGTGTGCTGGTTATATTGGCAAGAACAACGTAAGGTGCCGCGCTTGTGGGTTCCAATCCAACTGCGCGCCTCGTCGCCACAGCCCCCCGGCGAGGATCCGTGAAGCTGGAGCAAGCTCCCAGCAAGGATTTCCAATCGCTAGCATCGCCGACGAATGGCATGGAGGTGATGAGCTCCTCCGCCTCGACCAAGTATCCCGCTCGTCCCAGCAGATCGATCATGGCGCTGTAGTGCTGCTTGATCGCTGCCAAGCCAAAATCCACGACCATGGACGCGAAGCACGCAACCCCGCGATCGACGTCGCCGGCATGGCTAAGCGCGACGAGGATGGAGCAAAAGGATACCGGGCTCGGCAGGATCTCGTCGCAGGCGATGGCGATCTGGAAGAAGTGGATCGCGAGCTCGGGATCGGCGTTTTGGGCGAGTGCCGCGAGGATTGAGTTCGCGGCCAGCGCGTCCCTGTGGAACATCCGGTCGAAGAGGAGCTTGGCTTCGCGGGTGTGGCCGTTTTGAGCGTAGGCGGAGAGGATCGAGCTCCATGCAGCGTAGCTCTTTTCAGGCATTGAATCAAACATGGAGCGAGATTTTTGGAGCTCGCCATTGCGAGAGAGAGCGTGGATCATGGCCGAGGTGGAGACGATGTCGCGGTGAGGCATCGAGTGGAAGATCTCCTGGGCGAAGTCAAGATGCCCAACTTGGGCATATGCGTGGAGCATCAGAGTATACGATACTGTGTCCCATTCTAGCATTTGATCAAACAAATATTTGGCTTTATCAATGTCTTTGGAGTGAACAAACGCAGCTAGGATAGCATTCCACGAAATCAAGTTTCTCTCTTTCATGGAATCAAATACTTTCTTCGCCATAACAAGATGCTCGTTCTCGGCATATGCTGTTATCATGGCCGTCCACGCGATTACATCGTGACGCTCCATTGCGTAAAATATCCTTTCGGCCTCCTCGATCTTTCCTACTTTTCCGTAGACTCCCAAGATTGCGGTGTCTGCAACATTGTTGCGCAATGGCATTTTCTCGTAGAATACCAGAGCATCTTCCAGATGACTGCTTTGGGCATATGCCGAAAGCATTGCGTTTAGCGATGAAAGGTCCCATTCTGCCATTCTATCAAAGAGATGCTTTGCTTGGCTTAACTGGCCGTTCACGGAGAAGGCAGCGATCATAGCATTGCATGAGACAGGGCTCCACTCGGGCATCCTCAGGAATATTCGTAATGCCTCTTCCGTACGTCCGGCCTTGGCATATGCCGACACAAGGGAAGTCCATCCATAGAGATTCCTCTCCTTCATTCTATCAAAGAGGATCTTTGCCCGAACGCAGTCTCCTGCCTGCGAATATGCATCCAACATGGCAGACCAAGATACCAAATTCCGCTCGGGCATGGAATCAAACACGAGTTGTGCTGCGGGAATATGCCCGTTCTGGGAATATGCCACCACCATGGCCGTCCACGAGAGAAGATTCCTCTCCGGCATGGAATCAAACACGTCTTTGGCTTGGACCACATTTCCGTGCCTGCCGTACGCCGACACCATTGCCGTCCACGTCACCACATTGTGCTCCGGCATGGAATCAAAGAGCCTCTTGGACTCCTCCAGATACCCATTCTGGGCATATGCGCAGAGCATATTCACCCACGAGTACGCGTCCTTGCGCGCGATCCCATCGAACACGTGGCGCGCATGGTCGACGCGGCCGCCGATTCCCAGCGCCCGGATCAACCGGTTGCGGTCATACACGGCGTCCAGCATGGCGGAATATCCCGCCGGGGGCGTTACGCCAGCAGAATATCCCTCACAAGGACGTTTTTTGGAAGGAATATTCCCGGGCGCTAGGTTTTCGTGGTTGTTTTTTTTTTTTCCTCTTTCGAGCGACAAGGGCGGTGTTGTGAGAGGTTCGATCGTCTCTCCTTTTTGGTTTTGTGATCTTGATCCTTGGATCGGGAGGCGCGAGAGGCGATGGCGGAGCCGCTGCGCAAGCCGGTGTTTGGCAAGGTAGATCAGCTGCGGCCCGGCACCAACGGCCATACCCTCGTCGTCAAGGTCTTGAGCTCCAAGCTCGTCCTCCAGAAGCCTCGCCCTGATGGTAGCCAGGTCCGCCAAATGCGAATCGCCGAGTGTATCGTCGGGGACGAGACCGGAGTGATCGTTTTCGCCGCAAGAAACGAGCAAGGTAAGACCCTTTTGGATCTCCTCTCTTTCGGATTCTTTGCTTGACTGAGATCTTTTGTGGTTTGGATGGATTTTGGCTGTGATCTTACTGAGAACTTTTTTGCTTGTGTTCTTCTCCAGTGGATCAAGTGAAAGAAGGCACGACGATTATCATCCGCAACGCGAAGATCGACATGTTCAAGGGATCGATGCGCCTGGCGGTGGACAAGTGGGGGAGGATAGAGGTGACGGATCCGGCGGACTTTGTGGTCAAGGAGGACAACAATCTCTCCCTGGTGGAGTACGAGCTGGTAAACGTGGTGGACGAGCACTAGGTAGTGGCTTTGGGTTTTCTTCTACGCTTGCTACACGGTTTCTCAACAATAAGCACAGATCGATCGAGCACAGAAAATCGGGAACCAAAAAAAAATGAGGAGGCCTTTTGCTAGAGCATGGTTACGGTGGTGGTGTGGTGGTGGTGGTGGGAGGAAGATATTTCTAGAGTGCCAGTGTTATGATTTCCATCATCATAAGTCTTCGATCCTCGGAGTGCTGGAATTTTTTGCAAGCCACGTTTGACACTCCCGGCAGCTGTTATTGGTATCTCGATTTCTCTCTTGGCAACCGTGGTGTGGTTTTTCTTCTCTTTGCTTGAATCTTATAAGCTGTGATATCTTCCAGAGACATGGTGCCAGTCCTAGAGAACGTAGCGAAGCGCTCGTCAGAGACATGGTGCCAGTCCTAGAGAACGTAGCGAAGCGCTCGTACGTACTTGAGCAGCTGGGTCCAGTGATTATCAGCGGCATCTTCTTCAGCAGCTCGTACGAGTCTCGCGAAATCTGGAGATAATGGCGATAAACAGGGACTGGCAGAGGAGCTTCAAAGAGCCTGGAGAGATCATTGTGGTGGAACTCCATCCCCATGCACAGCTCGAGGAGCACGAGGGTGGCGGGAACCTCCTCCTGCGAGGTCATCCATCCAGCCATCGCTCGTTCGCCATCGTCGGTGACACTGATGGGAATTGTAGAAGTCAATCTTGCAAGATCCATATCTTTGGATCTATTTTATACAAAGCTCTTCTGCTCTTGTTAAGATTGATTCTTCCGCTTTGGGCATGAAGGAAAGGAACTCGCTCGTGACGTGCGGCACGTAAAGAATGTTTTTGGATCGTGTTTTTTCTCTTTGGTGTGGTGTATGTGTATGTTGAACATACATTTTTCAGTCAAAGCGAGATGTTCATTCCAGCAAGATGATCGAATGATAAATAACACAATAATATTATTATGAGAAAGGAAAGAGTAGACATCGCGTGCTGCCAAAGCTGATGTAAGAATCAAATTGCCCAGCAGGCATTCAGAAGCCTTGGAAAATACTCACTGAGATTTTGGGATCTGCTGTCAAAGAAAAGATTTTAAGGCTGACTTGAAAATCCTGCACCATGAACCACCATTTCTTTTTGCAGAAGTTGGAACAATGTATGAAACCATTTGGTTGGTACTTCCATTCAAGCATAAAGCTGTGCCTCCTTCGTCGGCTTTAAATTGGTTTTCTTCTTATTCTTCTGGTTCTTGTCCAAGTTTTTTTGCAATTTTTCTATGTGGAAACACACTTTCTTTTCTTATGCCTCCAGAACAGACCCCAAAAACATGTATTATTATTATGAATTTTCCTCGAGGATCCCAAAGAGCATACAAACGGCTTACCATGTGGTGAAGCTTGTCTCTTTCTGTTGCTTAGCAAAAAGATCACTGCTATTTTGTTTGTGTTTCATTTTCAAAGAAATGAAGTCGTGCGAAATATATCTTTTGCAATCCGTGCAAGAATCATTCTTGTTGATTTTGGCAATAAAAATTTTTCATAGAAGTTTTGGCGCCCTTGGGGTTGGGGGTACAGAATAAGAGGAGAGGTGGAATGTTTAGAAAGATTCATGGATATATGCTTTGATGCTATGGGACGGACTCAAGCAGGGCCAGGAGTCAGCATCCATAGTTTTGTGTGGATACAGGTATCTTCTTCCCCAGGGGGCAGCAGTAGCTCTCAGTTGGTCCAGGTCTTATGAATGGTGGCATTAGTATTGGCATATAAAAAATGAAAAAGAAAGACATAGAAAATTTAGTATATTAAAAAGCTTGAGAACTTCTTGGGAGGTGTGAAGAACCTGGAGGCAGTTAATGATTGAGTTAATGATGATAAATGCCCATTCCATCGATTCATCTCTCCAGACACTGTTGGATTGACATGAGAGATTTGATAATTCAGGACAGTAAATAGTTAGTTCTTTTGTATATAGAAAAGAAGGAAAATGGAGCTAAAATTTCCATGGAAACTTATCATTCAGCAGGAGCTTGGAATTGGTGTTAGCCCTGCAGTCTAGACTACGTAGGTGTTTGCTCTGACCTCTTGTTCTTGCCTTGCTCAGAGAGAAGCAAGAGCATTAAAGAGTACAGGGAGATTCCTTTGTTGCTGCTGGATTGAATGGAAACAAAGAGGTGAGATATGATATAGGTATGCAAGTTTCTGATGCAGCGAGGTTATATTGCACGGTCTTTGTGTGTTTTTTTTTCTTTTCTAATGCTTATTAACAACACACACAAAAGTTGCAGCACTGAAAGGGAGTCTCTCTTATATTCACCTCTATGCAGTAATGGCTAGCTAGTGACAAGAATGGTACAAGAGGGTTTCCACCTGGGCTGATTCATGGGGCAGAGTTCCTAGCACTTTTGGATATGAGCATTCAAGTCATGGTATATTTATATTGATAATTGTGACAATGCATGCATTTGTTTTTCTTACCTGCAAGAATGCCACAATTAGGCACTTGAGGCTGACACTAACAGCAGCAGCATGGAGTTACCTGCACTTCACTTCTGCTGGGTATCCAATTCTGTATTCAAGGGGATGAAAGCAACAAGGGCTAGTGGAAGAATAATTGTCTTTGTATTGCAGGCTTGTCTTTTATAGTACTTTTCTTCCTTTTCTTTTTTAACCAGTCAAAAGCTTGTCTTTGCAACAACAAATGGGGCAAAATGCCCTTAAGTGGCATTTTGCAGGGGTAGAGGCAGACTGTGATTTAGGACCCTCTTTGTGCATTGGCACATTTGCATTGAAATTACTTCCCTCCTCCTTAAAGCTAAAACCGTACGTTTGGGAGCGCTTTCAGCAGCTCCAGTGGCCGTATATATAGAAGCTCTGTGCAGTGTGCGAAGATGGTAACAGCTTTTTGATTGATGGATTTGTTGACATTTTCTTTTTTCGTTTTCTTTTTTATTGCAGGGAGATTTTGAGTTTTTTTTTTCAGAAAACTCCCTTTCTTTTGCTGCGGAAGACAAATTAAACAGTTTCCATTTTCAACAACCAGCAGCAGCTAGAGAAGACAAGGGTACATTTCTTCCTTGCATGACAGTACCAACGTGCAAAATAGGAATATGTACGGCCGTTGTCACTAAAGTATTTGAAACTGGCAGAAGATTTGGCACAAAATAATGTAAGCTAGCTCTCTCTCTCTCTCTCTCTCTCTTGTGTGTGTGTGTGACTGATATGCATTGGTGGGAATATATATCACTCGATCTGTTTCTTCCATGTGACAAGGTTACACTTCCTATGAGTCAGAAGGGCATTCAAGAACTTTCAAGGCTTGCAAATCTGGAGAGGTTAAGGTTCCTGCTAGGAAAATGACACTGGCACATGGCAACATTGCAAAGGCTTAAAATCAAGACAAGATCCTTGCAAACATATGCCCATGTATACATAAATATATATACACGTATAATATATCTATGATTGCTGGGTCGAAGTGATTGACTTTTACCCAAGCTTCCAAGCTTGACTCACGAGTGCCCCTCAGTTTCTTATACTTTACACGACAAAACAGGATCTCATTCTTTTACTCGAGATTGGAATACTACAAGTCTTGATTGGGCTGGGCTGTGCCAGCCATGGCCAAGTCTGCAGCAACACACAAGTAAGCATCACGTTTTGATCGAGACAAGCAGCTGGCTGGATCGTCTGGATGCGAAAACTCTACTTGCTGTCAACCAAAAGATTTCTTATGGTCCACGGTTTAGCGACGATGACACTTGGCCCAGACATTGCGATGGAAAGTACCCTCAGCCCAGCCCACGCAATTTTCAAGCGCATCAAAATCCAAGATAGTGAAATTCGTTTACAAGTCGCGAGAGCTTTTTCATTTCATGCGCGGTCAAAGTCTGGGCTGCTGCATGGTGACAAACAAGAAGAGAAAAAAAAGACGTAGAAAAGAGACATGGAGTTAAACTTCTCCTTTTGCAATTGGTGGTCCATTCAAAAGTTGTGATAGCGAAATGCAAAATCAGTCCTTGAGCATGAGCTCGCTCGTAGTTTATAGCACACAAGTGTTTCAAATAAAGAAAAGATTGGATGCATGGCTAATATGATATCCCGATATCAAACGTTTCTCCTCCAAACATTGTATGGCGGCACAAGTTGCCAAGGCCAGCTTTTTACGTTGTTACATTCCAAAGCGACCGCACAAGTTGCGTCTTGTGCCGTGTCTCTTTTGCAAGTGTTCGTCTCTCCGGTCTCACGGGTCTTTGATACAACAAGAAAAAGGAAAACCAAATTGCTCCATGGTGTGCAACGCAATTATTATATATTCTCCTCTTCCCAAGATACAAAAGCAGTGTCGCTGAATAGATCATATTTATATGGATTCATATATTCCTTCCATTGCCTTTGTTACGCAGGCGACAAGTATCAAGAATTATTATGGATCGGGAATATACGGCCAAAAGAACATAGAACAGAATGTGTGGAGAAAGCCATCTTGCTACGTGGGCGTTTGACGTGGCGCGTGACTCAGCACGTCAGTGAAGCATGCATGCACACGAGGCTCCCGAAATCTACCGAAATGGAATTGCCCAAGGGTGGCGGCCGTTCACTCTTCCGCACGATGCGCGTAGCCCTGTCTTCCTTGTAGGTATTTGGACGCATAAATGCCAATAGAATTGGCTGCTAGCTACAAAAAACGCAAAGAGGAACATTACAGAAAAGAAAAAACATTATTTTAAAATGTAGAAAATGTATATATTAAAAGATGACAAAAGTTTCTACCTAGTCGAGAACTGAGTACTCGTTTGTCTCATAATGCAGCAAGGCAGGCCGTCGAATTCAGAGGTTGAAGTAAGTACTGGTTCAGAATATGGCGGTGCTCGTAAATGGTATGATAGGACTCCCATATCTACTACGACTGCTTTTGTATACTTTTTTTCTCTCGCTTTTCTCGCGGGCAATTAAGATTGTATTTACCCAGATGCGTCTTCTGGGCACGTATATATATATATATATCCCCTGTTGTATTTTCATATATCTACTTCTGGGTCGTATCCAATACAAAATGTAATGTAGATTCGACAGCTGCCACCACCCAAAATACTTTAGCACGTAAATCTGCTTCAATTCAAAGGGAGGCTTTTAGTAATTTGCTGTACTCCTTGTCTCGTGTTGCTGGGCAGTTTGTATACCTCGTCCTAGCGAGCGTCACTTGGCTTTCAAGTACTGGATTGTCCACCTTGTAAAGGGAGGAATTGGATTGTTTTACGTGGGAATTTGGAGAGGTTGAATCTTGCGTGCTTAGAGGTGTATTATCAAGTTTGGAATTTCTTGGTCGCTTGCAAGTTGCGAAGTCGGAGCGAAGGAACATAGGCCCCTCCATCTTGACAACCTGTGCAGAGCTGCGATGGATCATATAAATTGTAGACATGCCTCTGTCTGTCTCTCCGGAAAGTTTTGGGTCTTGTCTCTGATTGACAGGTATAGAATTTAAGTGGCTGCTGGGATAGTTTCGGTCGTTGATTGAGAGAGAAGAAGAAGAAGAAGAAGAAAACTGGTGGTCCAGTGCGAACCTCCTCGTTTGTATATGCATCAAAAAGATGAAGAAGCTGCATGCATTCAATATCAACTTTCTCTTGTCAAGGCCAAGCAAAGCAAAGTTGTGGTGCTGGAACATAGGACCACAAGTGTGCTGCCACATTCATCTCCAATTGCCAGGAAGGGAAAATCCACGGATCTTTCCATTTGCAGAGTTGCATGGTTTTGCAAAGTGTCTTTAGCTGGCTCGTCAATAGCATGGAAGACGAGATAGATGAGAGAGGAGGGGACCTCCCTGGGCAGCACCACCACCACCACCTTGAGAAACCCTAAAGACATGGCAGCAATGATGTTGTTTTCATTCAAAGTGAGTGTCCACTCGTTCTTTCTTCCATGCAACTTCCTGGGTTGCCTTGCTACTACAAAAGTATTGCACCGACTAAAACCATGGCCTGTCGGTATGATTGTCATTGTTCCAACTGTATGCGCTGCAAAAATGCATAAACAAGCCAGCATCTGGCTTTTTGTTCTTTTTAATTTTGTCACTCTCTGGTTGCTTTAATAGAATTTAAGAGGAATATCAATCAAATGCTTGTATTTTGACCGTGATGCGGTGATAATGACACGAGTTTAGTGTCAACATACGTTGTTTAAGCCACCCAAGGCTATCGTGAGCAGGTTGACAATCTCCTACGTACATACAACTTTCAAAAAATTTAAGAACCCTGTTCATAATATGGTTTAGAGCTGTGGTGTCGACACAGATGCCAACACCAAGAGTTTGCAACTAAATGTATAGTTGATGGAGAGATGAAATATCTCAGATTTGAGATATTATTTATCTAGAGACCCGCTAATTTGGTTTGTTTGTACGCGAAAGAATATTATGGTGGCTGTGGGTTTGATATTGGAAAATCGACCCTACATTAGCTTGACCTTTGGTTGAAATCCCACACATTGACTTTTTGACCACAGTGCAAAAACTTTTTTTATATAAAGAGCAAAGTAGAGTGTCGGTGAAAGTCATACCAGTCCACTCCACGAGTGGTAGAACCTGATAGTAAAAAAACAAAACCTCTCCATTGAACAAAAGTCATTCCATGTGGAATCCAGCCATCAAAGGTCCAGAGGTGATTCCTTTTTAATTTATAAATTATATTATTTACAAATATTGCCAAAATCAAGCTTTTTAATAAAAACTCGATCTTTTGTTATATATAACCAAAGCTGTCAACATTCTCTCCTCTTCCATTCCGCCTGCCACAAGTGTTCTTGCAAAAGATTCTGGACCACACTGTTGTGTCCCTCTGGGCTGGCATGCTAACAAAAGGCAAAATAAAAATGAGAAAAACAAAGCTTTGGGCATTCAATCAAACACGATTATAAACCAAAACCACACCTTTATATTTCTATTTCTTCTGCGTACCATGGTTGTGGGGTCCGTTTATACTGCTTTGCTTAAGAAGGAACTTCCCTCTTTCTCTGTTGGGTGTATAGTGGTCGGTCGCATCTCATGATAAAAATTCTCCTAGGCTGGGCTTCTTTCCTCACAAATTTTATATACATGTGTGCGTGAGGAGACGAGGTTGATATTCTCCTTGCGAAGAAAAGTATATGGCATCTCCAGTTGAATGGCCTCTCAAGCCAAGTAAGAGATAAGTTCTTAAGGGTATGGTCACTTCCCCAGCAAAAGAACCACCGAGAAAAAGCAAAGCATGTTTTAAGCCTCGCGCTTAAAGGGGTTAAAGTGCTGCGGCGAGGGAATTTCACGCTGGGTGATTTCACACGGGTGCTCGCCACACGGAATATCCGCTTACCTGACGGCGGAGATCGTCTCCGCTTTGATATATATACACTCGTGCATATGTTGCTGTTCTTCCAGTTCTTTGCCTTGTTTTCTCGTTGTTTCTCCTGAGCGCGCGGCCCGCGATCTACTGCAAAAGCGAAAGCGAGCGAGGGAAGTGAGTGAGAGAGCCTGGCGAGGAAAGGAGAGAAGGAAAACGTCTTCCTGTGAAGGAGGAAGGAACGAAAGGAAATGCGCCTGTGTTACTTACCTCTATTGTCTCCGGGAGAGCTTTGATAAGATCATCATCATCACCCAGCGCAGAAAGCCTAGCTAGATAGCTGGTTTCCCCGAGATCGTGTGTCACAAGGCAACTTATTGACCAGGCCGAGTTCTTGGAGCGGGTGTCCAGGTGTACCAGGGCGCACAAACTCCTGTGTAGAACATAACAAGCCTGCCGTCATTTCTAGATGATCCGTATAGAGACAACTTACTTCCCCCATTGCTGACTCGTCCACCATTCTTCTCAGCTTCTCGATCTTGTGTATGGATCACCACCACTACTGTTGATGCTCTTCTCGCGGCTCAATCACCACCAGCGACGTCGGTCGTCTAGATCCTGCGAATTCTAGTTCACTGCTTTCACGTCCAGTGAAGCATCATCATTCATACTCGTTCCCATGGAGATTTCCAATGCGGCAGCAGCACCAGCGCTCTTGCTCCCTGACTTGTCTTTGCAGATTAGTCCGCCGTGTTCCACAAGCAAAGCAGCACCGAGCCCAGCGGCTTCCAGTGGCCTCACGGACCACCAGCTCTGGACCACCACCAGACCTTTGTCTTCCTCCTCCGGAACTGTAGAGCTCAGCAAGAGTAGTCCACCGAGGAGCAGCATCAACAGTGCAGCTAGCAGCAGCCTCGCCAGTGACAACTCCTCCAGCAATTCTTCCGGGGGAGAGACTTCCATCCAGCTATCGTTGGGAAGTCGCTACTTCAACGCCTTGGGAGGAGCTGACAAGAATAGACCAGTAGGGGCCGATGACGCCGAAAGGAAGCCTTCCAAGGTGCCGCTTTTCGGAGAAGATCGCTCGTTTTCCAGCCGCCTCGACTCGACGGACTCCAAGGCCGAGCAGCACAAGGCGAGCTTTGTCCAGTTTTCTTCGTCTTGTTCAACAAGCCACCACCATCGGCAGCAGCAGCTGCAGCAAGTGCTCCAAAGATACTCGTCCCCGGCAATGATGAACTTGTATCAGAGCGGCTTCTCCAGCGTCAGGATGAGCAATGGTGCGGTGGCGCCGCCGCCGCCGACGACGACGACGACGACGAGAGATGGCAGCTTGAGTGCCTTGTTTGATGCAAGCTCTTCCTCTTGCGGTAGCAGCGTCCCGACCCCTTTGATTGCTGGCAATGCAGCGACTTCCAGCCTCCGATCCAGATATATCTCCAAGTTTCCAGTCAAAAGGAATGTCCGAGCTCCCCGGATGCGATGGACGAGCACCCTCCATGCGCATTTCGTTCACGCGGTGGAGCTTCTCGGGGGACATGAGAGTAAGTTTTCAGTTTCGATCGATTGCCGGTCACTTTTGTTATTTGTCCGAGTTTCCTGGTCTCAATTCTGGAGTCTAGTCATTCACTGCCTGGGTGATGTAAAAAGCTCACGTCTTGTTTGTCTATCCTGCAGGAGCAACTCCCAAATCAGTCTTGGAGCTTATGAACGTCAAAGATCTCACCTTGGCACACGTCAAGAGCCATCTACAGGTGAGTCGCTCCCCCTTTCCTCACGGCACTGTGCGTGGTTGGATCATCACAGCTACCAGTTGAAATTTCCACCTCGAAATCCATGTAGAAAACTCCGAACTTGGCTCGTTCCTCCTCCTGAGCTCTTGAATTTGTTTGACAGCTCCATCCAAGAACACCGACTGTAGTCTCGATTTCATGTCACGTAGTAGCTATCGTTTCTTGTCTTGCTGAGACTATCCCACTGCATATCCCGCCCCATGTGAAGCATTACTGTCCTACAGTGAAAAGCCATATGCTGATTAGTTTACGAAATCCCGGAATGCAGATGTACCGCACGGTGAAGACCACTGATAAATCAGCTTCCACGGGTGAGTAGTCCGCCAATCCTCCAGAAAGAGAAGAAGCGAAGCCCTCGAAAGAAAATATGTAGAAGCCTCCAGATTGTTTGCTGCAGTCTGTCTCACTGTGTCTTTCCATGTCTCTCAGATCATGTGTCGTCCGTGGAGATGAGAAAGATGGATGATCCCAAGCTCATGCAGTGGAAGCCCGAGGCTGTCCAACCCAGATACAGTGACGAGCCGGCTCTTCAAAGTCGATGTCCAAGGTAAAAAGCCGTCTTTTGAGCTCGCAAGTGACCGAGAAACATACTGATGCCGCTTTGCTGCTCACAGATCGCAGGAAGTCGTACCGCGGCCGAGCTTCAGCGATGGTCTGTGGCAGCAACATATGAAGCAGACGTCTCATGTACGTTGTTGCTGTCTCTTCGGGCTTAACATCTTTTTGATGACGGCTTCACTTTTCTCTTTCTCAGGGTGCGATGAAGATTGAGGACGGCCTCCAGCAGCGACAGTTTAGTGCAACGACGCTTTCCCAGCTCATGTCCTCTCGCATGAGCCACATGATTCCCAAGGTCCCCAGCCTGGAGTTCACACTTGGAAGGCCCGGGTACCACTTGGCAGAGCATTCGGAAGCTCCGCCACCACAAGAACTGCTGCTGCTAAGGTGCTAGCTCTCCAGAATTTTCTTGAACTTTTCCCCCCTTTTTCTTGTTTTGTTTTCGCCGGCACCGATTCTGTAACTCGCTCGACAGCTCCTGTACAAAAGCGGATATTCTTTGATTAGCAAAGAAAAAAGCAAGAGGCTCTGCTAAGTAGATGTTAAGCTTAAGTCCCAGTTAATGTATTTTCACCTTTTTTTTGGCTTGCGAGTGTCGATTGCCACCGATAAATCTCTCTGCGGGACAGAGGAGCAATACAAACGCTAGCTCCAAGATAGCATTGTCTCCTGTAAACCAAACCACGCTGGGCTCACAGCAATCGATAAAGCCATATCAAGCAAGATATCTGATTCATGATAAGACTAAAACAAGATACAAAACTCATGGTTATGGCTAACATACCCCGTCAACGTGGTGGCATGATCACTCGCAACACCTAAAGCACGCAAGAGCTCTGTACAGTTCACTCATTAGACGCTCATTGTGAAAAGCCAGAGAATGAAACCAGAAAGAGGCAAACAAACGAAAGAAGAAAAAAAAAAGAACGATAAAGTACAAGCAAGCCACTTACCGGTGAGACCTTGCAAATATCTTTATCGTGCTGCCGCTGCTCTCGCACTCAGAGAGGTATGGTAGTTTGTCCTCCGCTGCTTCCTGTACGACGTGTAGACATCATCATACTGCGTGGCCTCGTTTGGATCCGCGGCTGCCCCGAGTCCCAACCTTCCGGTGGATGTCATTCCCGGTCTGTGTTCCAGACTTCCATCCGGCAAAGTTCCTGTCTGTGGATCGACTTGTTGCATCTGAGGCGGTGGAGGAATTCGAGCACCACCGCTGCCTGCTCCCTCGTCGTCTGAGTCCCCTGACGGCTTATACTTCCCGGCTAGAGGATCAGGCTCTCCGATCTCCTTGAAAAACTTCGAAACTCGGTCCATGATGTGTGACTCCGACGTCGCGGATGACGGTATGATAGTCGGGATGTCCAGCGGGCTGAGAGGGGAGTATGGAACGCCGCTTCCGATTTGCATCTTCCGGACCATGCCTGGAATTAGTCCCGGTGGAAAAAACGGATACGGAGCTTGCTCTGCCCGGCCTGCTGGCTGTTGCGTCTGTGTACTTGGAGCTTGTGCAGCAAGAAACGGAGCCAAGGCTGGAAAGAGCGAAGCAACTGAAGGGCTTTGTGGAGGAGCTGGAAAGCTGGCAGCACTCGACTGTAGCTGATGATCCTCATCCCTCTCTGGTTCTGGCGGCGGCAATGTTTTCTCTCCGTATCGTCCACCAGCTGCTGCAAGTATCGAAGATACATTTTAGCTCCACGAAAACGAAAAACCAGCAAACTTACTTGAGTCAAATCTCATCTCTTTGTCGAGAGAATAAACAGTATCTGGATCGTAAACCTCCTTGGTACGCCAAAACTGTAGCATCTTCTCCACCTGTTCGCGTTCGGCGTCATTCACCCGAGGATTTTGGTAGATTGCCACCAGGATGGAGCTTAAAACAGGACGAAAAGCCAGTGCTACGCCGTCGAGCTCTTTGGTGTTGAGTCGAGACTGCAAGCTGTGAGAAAAGAATCGCGATTATCAACCAAAAGAAGAAAAGGAGAGAACAAAAAAAGAGAGCTTTGTACCTGCTGAAGAGAATGTCGTTGACAAGGTACAAGATGTTCATCTGGCTGTCAACGTTACCATCGGATTTAGTCACTCTGTCTCGAAGAACTTCCACCAGCGTGGGAGCAAAAGTCGACCTTTGCACAAACCAGTTCCTAGCGTTCTTGATAGCCTCTTTAGTCCCGGACAAGTTATCCAGCAAACCATGCAACTCCGCCACCATCTCCGAGCTGATGATCTGCGTAGCAGCAGTAGCCAATGCTGGATCGAAAAACTGCTGCTGGGGGTGATGCATGACCGGGGGAGCAGAAGCGGCGGCGGCCAGATCAAAAAACGCTGGGAAGGAACTCGCAGCCGCCGCCGCTGATGGTGGTGGCGGAGGTGGCGGAGGCGGCGGAGTGATCCCAGCAGGAACTCCTATAGCCTGGTTCACCATGTTGAGAGCTGGATTGAAAGCCACGAGGTGGGGGTTGATCGTGATCCAGAGCTTGTACTGGTAGTAGCTATGGCCATCGGCTCCAAACAAGAACGCGTAGTCTGGATTCTCCTTTTGCTTCTCTTTCATCAGTGCCTCAAAGCCGGGACCGTTCTTGACATAGAACTCCACAAGCTTGTCGATGCGCTTGTGGAGCTCGGAGTCCTGCGGTGGAGGAACGGGCGTTGGCGGCATCTCCCAGGGATTGAAGAAGCTGTTGTGAGCGATCGGAGGAGGAGGAGGCGGAGGAGGAGGAGGCGCCGCCGCGGCGGTGGCAATGTAGGGAGGAAACGGTTGCTGCGAGACGTACCCGTATTGGAAATGCGGTGGCGCTGGAAGCGATCTAAACGGCTGCTGCGCTGCGACTGGGGATTGCTGCGGCGGTGCCACGAATTGCTGCTGCTGCTGTGGCGCCATCCCCGCGCCTCCAAAGAACTGGCCTTCCATCGCGAGGGAGAAATTAGGGTTCTTGATTTTAGGGCTCTTGGCTAGGATGATTGATGAGCAATGGCTCCTCGACGATCGCCGCGCTGCTCCGGGAATGTGGGAGTTCACGCGATCTAGCTCGTGGCAGGCAGCTCCACAGCCAGATTCTCAGCGCTGGCTACCGCTCGACGGTACTGGAGAATTCGCTCGTGAGGATGTATGGAGATTGCGGGAGCCTGGACGAGGCAGTGGATGCGTTCTCCAGGATTTCTTCACGCAATGTCTTCTCCTGGAACATCCTTCTCTCGGCATTTGCGCAGCGAGGGCATCTGGATCTCGCGAGGGCGGTGCTGGAGATCTTCCCCGAATTTGACACGGTGAGCCACAATATCTTACTCGCTGCTTATGCTCGATCCTGCGCTATACCAGCGGCGAGAGATCTCTTCCAGCGAATGCCCGACAGAGATCTTGTATCGTGGAACACTCTTCTCGCAGGCCTTGCCTCGAATGGCTACTACATTGACGCGAAGAACACGTTTGATACAATGCCGCGGAGAAACCTTCTCTCCTGGAACTCCATGCTCGCTACTGGCGATGGAGAGCAGCAACAGCTAGAAGATCTGGAAGAGCTCTTCGAAAAACTTCCACAGCGATGTATTGTCTCGTGGACGGAGATGGTGAGCGCTTATGCCCAGCACGGGCACTTCCAGAGTTCGTGGAGCTTGTTCTTGGCGATGCCCGAGCGTAGCATCGTGTCTCTCAACTCGGCCATGCAAGCCTTCGACCGCGAAGAAACCGTGGCGACCATTTTCGAGAAGATGCCCGAGAGGAACTTGGTCTCTTTCAATCTGAGGCTCGGTGCCACTGCAGACGGTGTCCAAGCGATGGAGCTACTCGATTTCATGCCCGAGAGGAACATCGCGTCCTGGACGTCGGTTCTAGCGGTCTTCTCCAAGAACAGTGACCACCTCCAAACTTTAGAGCCTGCCGAGCGGATCTTCTCCAGAATGCCGCAGTGGGATGGCTTGTCGTGCAATGCCATGGCTCGTCTCTACTCGGAAGCTGACGACTTGCCCTCCACCGCTAAGATCTTTCACACCAATCTACGAAGGGACGCGGTTTCCTGGAACACTTTGATCACGAGTTACGGCCGAAGAGGTGATGTCACGAGTGCCAGAGAAGTTTTCCACCGGATGCCTCTTCACACACTGGCTTGCTCCACGGCGATGCTGGTGGCCATTTCTCGAAGTGGTGACGATAGCTCTGCTCGGGACTGGTTCGAGAGCATGCCTTTCCACGACATCGTTTCCTGGAACGCTATGATCTTCGCTGCAGCTGGAAAGAAGGAAAGTTTCGTGCTGTTTAGAAGAATGCAGCTAGAAGGAACCAGACCAACTTACGTGACTTACGCCACCATGATAGATTCCTGTGCCGAAGCCGCGGCTCTCGGAGATGGACGGGCGATCCACGAAAGGATACTCCAGCTCGGGTACTTTCCGGGAATTCTTGTCATCGGTAACTCACTGATCAACTTCTACAGTAGCTGTGGAGCAGTCGAGGAAGCACTTGATGTGTTCCAAAGCATGCGGAGAAGAGACTTGATAACTTGGAGCACCATAGTGTCTGGATACGCTTGGAACGGGCTCGGCGAGAGATCGGCTCAACTCTTCCAGTTTATGTTGCTCGAAGGCTTGGATCCAAGCTCGGTCACTCTAGTGAACGTTCTCACTTCGTGCAGCCATGGAGGTCTGTTGGACTTTGGAAGACGCTTGTTCGTGTTCGTGACCGCAGAAGTACCTGGATTTCCTGTCTGCCGAGAGCACTATGACTGCCTGGTCGATCTTCTCGGTCGATCTGGAAGGCTGGAGGAGGCTCTGGAGTTGATGGAGAGCATGCCATTCGAGCCTACTGCGCTGGGACGGATGAGCTTTGCTGCTTCGTGCAGGAAACAACACTTGGAAGGTGATTTGAATTTACTCTACGAAGACACTAACTACATGGCTCTAAAGGGTGCCTAGAGTTGCAAGGACTGGATTGCTACCTTTGCTGCGACGGATGATCGGCTGTGCTGCGCATACTCCATGGACGAGGTTAATCTTTCAAGCGTATCCGTGGAATCCATGGCGACGAGCCTCCGTTCCAGCAGCTGCCTCAACTCGCCAGCATTTGCACCTGAAGAGAACCACAAAGTTAGAACCCGTGCAAGACCAGGCTACTATACCACTAATTGGTTGCAAAGCTGCGAAAGATAGCCGTTCTTCACGATTTGGAACGAAATAGCTGAGGTTCTCACCGAAGTTGGCCCTCTCAGCCCACTCCAATGCTCTTTGCAACGGAGTTTGCAAGAGCTCATCTTTGGAAGTCTGCAAAAGAAATGCCTCTAGACTCGAAGCACAGAGAAGAAGAGCACAGCTTACCTTGAGCTTGATTTGGAGCTGCTGGACGTCAGACAATGTTTTCTTCAAGCTCTCAACCGAGGATTGTATCCGGTCTGCGTCCTTCGGCGTCTCATCTTTCACGGGAACGACGACACCCTTGAGAAATGGTTCCATCTGCAAGCTGGAAAATAGACCAATCGGTCGAATGAGGATCACAGTCGAAAAATCTACCTGGGACAAAGAGATCAGCCTCACTCGTCCAATTCCCCGTATCGTGACTAGAGCTCCAACTTCCAAGCGCTTCACCTGTGTGTTCAAACGATGAAAGACTTAGTAGCTACAGTGTCGGCAACTTACGTGCAGGATGTGGCTCAAGCAACCATATCTAAAAGCATACTCGTTCGCTGATCGTCCAGTTCTCTCAATCACAACATGGACGAAAAGATTGTGGCACTTTCGCAAAGCCTGCAAGGAAATAGAACAGTGAACGAAACAATCGCGAGAAGAGAACGATTTTACCTCTTCCAGAAGTGCTAGAAATCTCGCCTCGTACAAATGCAAAGTCTTTGTAGACGAAGGAACCAAAACCTGGAAAGAAAACCGTGAGTTCTCGATTGAGACTCACTTAGAGAGCATACCTCCGCGGCCTTGAAAGGAAGGCACGGGAGTTCCACAGCAGCTGCCTCTGGAAGCTCAAGAAGCTCTGGTAAGAAGAGAAGTGGCAAAATATTTCTTCACACTCACCATCGATTGCCGCTTCTGCGCAGCACTGAATCGAGCGCGACAGCATTGGCGGCCGCATTCTAGATCTGAGGCCACTCGAAGCTCCAAACGCGCACCACGGCACGTTTCCAGGGAAGAATCCACACGAGACAGCCATAGCCAAAATCTAGCACAGCTTAAATCGCCAAGAACCCTAAGAAAAACTTAAAGATTGCTAGGGTTTTTGGAGGGATGGAAGGAGAGCCTCCATGGGCGCCACCGCCATTGATCGCAATCCCGATGAGTACATCGAGCAAGCGCTTCTCCGGGTTTCGATCCCTGAGTAGCAGGCTAAAGGAAGATCTGGGCGCCGTCGTCGATGCCTCTCCAAAGATCGAGGAAGAGCACAAGAAGGAAAATTCCGGCGATCTCGAAGAAGGAGAGCTGCCGTGCGACGTTGGAGACAATCGCGACGAGCCAGGTACTGTGGTAGTGCTAGAAGCAGCGGCCGAGAAGACAATCATTCCGCCGGAACAGCCACTAGGTCTCATCGCGAAGGCAGGCTATCATTCTTTCACTGCAGAGCATCTGGATCGGCAAAAGTCTGTAGAAGAGATGGAGCTCATGGATCGAAAGGAAGCTTTGCTAGCAAAAGTGGAAGAAGAAGCACACAACAAAAAGAGGAAAAAGGATGATCCGGAAGAGCAGGGACAGGAAAAGAAGAAGAAAAAGAGAGGTCTTTCCGACGAAGGCAAGAAAAGGAAGAAGGCCCGAGGGAAGATCAAGCGTGCCGAGAAGGAACGAGCAATGGGGGTGGCGAGGCGGCGGCCAGTCTACACGCAAGTCGAGAGGCCTCCAAAGCCGCGGCTGTTGTGCAGATACTTCATGAAGGGGCGGTGCTCCAAAGGCAAGAGCTGTACGTTCTCTCACGAGGAAGTCCCCGACACGAAGCTCTACCTCTGCAAGTACTTCCTCACGCGCTGCTGCCTCAAGGGTGACGAATGCCCATTCTCTCACGACACGGCCAAGTTCCCGTGCAAGTTTTTCATCTCCCTGGGCTTTTGCAAGGATGGCGAGAGGTGTAAGTTCTCTCACGCGTCGGTCAGCAAGGAGGAGCGCGAGAAGATCATACAGCGGTTGGAGATCGAGAAGAAGCAAAAGCTGGAGGAGAAGAAGCAGACGCTAGAGGAGAAGAAGCAAAAGCTGGAAAGTGCTGGTGGTGGTGATGGTGGCGACGAGGAAATGGTCGAAGAACAAGCCAAGAACTCGAGCAGCAGTCCCGACTACTATGATCCGGACTGGGAGGATTACTCCGCGACGCCGATGGACGAGGACAACTTCCTCTCCCGAGCCGCGAGGCAGGCAGCGCTGGAGCACATTGATCGGGAGGACGAGGCGAGCTACGATCCAGCTCCTGGAGAGTGGTGGAAGAACAATCGCTATAGCGCGTCGCCACCCAGAGAGGATAGTTTCTTAGCGAGGCAGGCAGCGGCACTCCAGGAAAATGGGAGAGAGGATGAAAGAACCAAGATCATCAGCTCTCCGGATCCAGGACAAGACAATCCCAGCAGCTCCACTGCTCCAGCAGTCTTGGCCGACGACGGAGAAGACGATCTTCTCGTCAAAATCGCGAGACAAGCAGCAATCGAGCAGTGTAACAGTATGGTTTCGTTCGCAGCTCCTCCCAGATCAAGCTGCTCGACGTCCGGCTCAAGCATCATGGATCAACTCCAGCAATCGGTCCGTGAATCTGGGATTGGGATTTTTTTCTGATTAAAAAAAGGAGAGCTTTTTTGTTGGAGATCACATCGTACGCACAAGCAAATGCGCCAAGCATGATCACGACGTAGTGGGGATTTCTTTTGGAATTTTTACCGGCATCTTATCCTTGTCACATATTCTACGAGGGATATGCTCACATTCTCGGCCTTACACGCCAGCTGGACGGTCCAGATTCGTCGTGGCTTGGTTGTCCTTGGCACGCTAAAGTAGAGCTCTAGAGCGATGGAGATGAGACCTCTCCCACCTCCACGCAATGCGCCTGGAGAGAATAGTCTCCACCGTGCACGCCTGGAATTTAAGGAGTGGTGTCGAAGAAATCCTCGCTTTGATCACGAATTGAATGAGCTCGAGCGTTAGAATTCCAGAATGGATCGCGACGAGGAAGTGGCGCTCCTGGGAAGAACCGACTCGAGCAAGGTGAGGCTGGATCATCAAGAGATCTATCTTTCTCGCTTCGATCTCATCCCTCTTCTTTCGCTCCACTTTGTTTTAGCTCAAATCTCGGGTCAAGCTCGCTGCTACTGGGTGTGCTCTTGGGATTTTTGCCGTCCTCGCCACCGTGTGGTTCCTCGATCTTGGTGGGTTCTTCCAATTCGACGCCGCTCGATGGGTGGAGATAACAGAGGATCCCATCGTCTCGCCGGTGGATCGGCGAGCTCCAGTGAATTTCCTGGCGCTGGGCGATTGGGGACGACATGGATTGTATAACCAGAGCTTGGTTGCTTCCCAGGTCGGTGTTCTTTGTGACTCTTCTCTCCTTTTCTCAAGTTTTCGTGTGCATTGCTCTTCCAGATGGGAAAGATCGGCGGTGCGCTCGAGATAAACTTCGTGGTCTCGGTGGGAGATAATTTCTATAAGAATGGACTGACTGGAGTGGATGACATCGCATTTGATGAATCCTTCTCTCGAATCTATACTGCTCCAGCGCTCCAGAAACCATGGCACGCAGGTATGATATACAAATCTTTGATCAAGACTATCGATCTAATTATCTCTTTTCCTTGTGCTGGCAGTCTTGGGCAACCATGACTACCACGGAGACGTGTTCTCCCAGCTAGATCCACGGCTTGGTTTACGCGATTGGAGATGGCACTGCGTGAGAGACGCACAACTTATCTTTGATTTGAGCCCATCTCTTTTCCGAGGTTTGTTTCGCCATAGCCATGCCTAGTAACCATGGTTTTACATGGTTTCTTTAGTTTGCGTGCTTTGAAAGCTTGCTAGATTTTTCCCACCTTTGCGTGCCTCCAAATCTAGAACTTTCTAACCGCCGCGCTTACTCTTCTACAGGAGACGTAGACTCGCGCGTTTCTACAGTAGAGCTCTTCTTCGTTGACACAGTTCCATTCATTGACCAGTATTGGGCGCCAAACCAGAAGCACGACTTTGACTGGAGGGATATCCTTCCTCGCCATCGCCATTTGCAGCAAAAGCTCGAGGTATATGCGCTCCATATCATTCACACTATCAATGTTTCACATTGGTTCTTCCAGAATTTGACAAGTGCTTTGAATGCTTCCACCGCGTCTTGGAAGATTGTGGTTGGCCACCACACTATAAGAAGCTATGGAGCCCACGGGGATAGCGTTGAGCTAGTGAGGCAACTCCTTCCCATTCTCGAGGTAAATAATATATTTCTAAGCCTTGTGTCGCAAATCATACAGTGCATTTAGATTCTTTCCGTGACTTGTTTTATGTTCTGCAATAATCTTTAAAACGAAGCCGCGTGTGCCTGTGATCAGTTCTAACCCATTGCTGCGCTGAAACAGGGAAACAACGTGGACGTTTACGTCAATGGGCACGACCACTGCCTTGAACACGTCAAGAGAGACGACAGGTATCCTTAAGTTTGATTTGATTGTATTTGTAGTTGATTCATCCATCCTGACAATTCCACTCAACTCTTTCTATGGTTTTGATTTTGCACAGTCCAATCCATTTTATAACCAGCGGTGGAGGCTCCAAGGCCTGGAAAGGAATCTCGCCACCACAAAACTCGAATGGCTTGCAGTTCTATTACGACGGGCAAGGATTTGTGTCCTTCTCAGTCGCAGAGTCGTGGTTACAGATTGTTTACTACAACATTTACGGGGAAGCTGTTCACAAAGTTCGGCTCACAAAATAACATGTATATTGTTTTCTGTATAATTGAAAAAGATGAATACTTCACTTCAAGATCTGACTAATGACAGTTGCTGGGACGCTTGAATCCCACGCCTTGCAATCTGCTCTCATAAGGTGTCATCGACTTGAACAGCTTCCAGTCTTCAAGTACCTGCTTCTGTCCCGCCAACTTTTTTGTAAGTCCGACGCAGCAAGTTGCATGGTTGGTGCAAACCTTTTCTAGATCCGAGCTCACCGTGCAGAAGCCACCGAAATAGACGGTAGGCATGAAGTTGAAGCTGAGATCAAGGTCTTTGAACTGCTGGGTCTTCTTGAGCTCGTAAAACACGTCTTGATCGTGAAGCCCAGGATGGAACCGGTGCATTTGCAGCCACAGATCAAACAGCCTCCTGGTGCGATTGCTTGCGACAACGTGAAGGAACCCGGTGTTTTGCAAGTTTGCGATATCTGACGAGTTGTTGTTGAAGACTTCGCAAGCCGACTCAAAATCTGCGTGCTTGGAGAAGTGACGAAATGGAGGCCGGAACCAAACAATGTCGATATCCTGTCCAGAATTGGACCTCATAGATAACATGTCTAAGGAACAAATTCACCCAACTTACAGTGAAAATGAAGTTGAAATCGTACTGTAAAACGAGGGCGAGAAGGTAAGTCTTGAGATTTACCAATTTGAGGTAATCTGGAGCCATGGAGACTTGCTCCGCGGAGAAATTTACACCGGGCTTGAATCTAAACTGGAAGCAATGGACCTTCCCAGCGTGGATGCATTTCTCGTATGCAAAGCTATCCACAGCCACAATCACCATATGCTTGAGCAAATAGCTTATTCCTTCTCCCAGATCAAAGCTCTCCAAGAACGTATCGAACATTCCTCCTGGATCACACCACGCCTTGTTGAGCAGCCCGATCAAGACGGTCTTCTGGTCATCAAGAGCCGCAACTTCAAGAACTTTCTTAAATCCCTGGAGATCACTGTTTGTCTGGAAGAACAAGAATTAGAGAAGTGTGTATATCCAAAAGATAAATATCACCATAGCTGTGAAGTTTCCAACAGGCTCTCCAAGTTTAACAAGGATTGGTCTTCCTTTTGATGCTTTATACCTGATTGTCACTAACGAGATCGCACAAAGTGTCAGACCAAGCAAGGGAAATCCATAGGAACAGCTCCTCGTTCTCATTTTCAATCTCATTCCCATCTCCTCTAGCTAGGTTAGCTGATTCATTAAACAAAGTAGCTAACCAACCATGGAAAAAATTGGCTGATTTTTTTCATGATAATAGTGACACGGAATCAGAATACAACCAGTAGTGTGTGACAGACTTTGGTGGTATCCACACAACCACAGTCGGAGACTCGGCCATGCTTGGAAGCTGCACGAAGTCTTCACTGGCCGAGCTTCGAAACACCGATGCTGGAAAGCCTTGGACGCTGGGAACGCAAGTTGCGGCCACTAGACTGTCTGTGAACTTCTCCGGAAGTGTTTAACATCTAAAGTTCGCACAAGAAAAAGACAAACTTTGATTTGTTTATTTTGTGTCTATAATATCTATTTTTATCTCTTTGCAATTTGAACTTTTACATCATTGGTTTTAGTGTAATGTCAATATTGTTTGTCACTTTCTAACATGGGACAAGAACTATGTAAAACTTCTTAGAGTTTATAACAGCTAAAGGTTTGCTTAAAAGCAAACAATATAAAAAAAAATCCTTTTAACACTAATAAAGATTAAAGGCAGTTTATTTATAAACTATAGACAAACTTAACAATAATTTACTTTATAACGCAAGCTATCATATTCAAGCCAAGCTCTAACAACAAACTGTGTAGGTTGTGAAAATTTATAAGGTTCATCAGTTTCTGGAGGTGCAATTTCTACCCACTCAACAAACCAAGGTGCCTCACCTCCCCAATTATCATGAGACAATTCCATTTTACAAATATGATCATATTCACCTAGACAAGGAGCTGATAATCCCCCAAAAACATCAGTATGACATCTTTCAAAATCGTTATAATTTTTATGGTCTAAATTGCGAAACATTAATGTTTGTCCCTGTGAAGTAAAAAATACAGCATTCACATTTGCATCTGTGCCAGCATGGTCAACACATCCAGTCTTGATGGTCACTGTATATTGGCACTGAAAAACTCAAAAAAAATCAGTATACTAGAAATAAATCAACCTTTTACCTGAGCATTAGCATCATGCAACAGAAAAATGAGAAGAAAGAAGAGGGGAGGAAGAACACAAGACCACAAATGTCTTCCCATTTACTAAGAGATATTTAGCTTGTCTAATCTTGCCCTTTAAAAAGCAGGAATTTGTTTGTCATGACATGCTAAAAGTTTATGTATATACTTTGAATTATCCATTCATTTCCAATGACGGTAGCAAGTCCACCAAGTTTTGCCCACTCCACCAATGGCTAGATTTACAGTGCCAACTCTCTCTCTTGCAATATTATGTCTAGATTGCCTAGAGAGATGGCAAGTAATTTTTTCGAAGCTCAAGTGCCTAACCAGGCTGCAAGTGGACGTGACTGGCATAGGATTCAACATCGCCCAAGGAGTCGTGGAAATAGAGCCCATTACTCGGTGGTGGTCAGGTTAAATTTGAAGGATGGGTTCAAATAGTTAGTAAAGAAAAAACATTTAAATTTCAGATCTTTAAACTACCCTATTTCTTTTACTAAAAGATGTAGTGATCAGGTTGGTGTCAGAGATTCAGTCTCAAGTTCAATCAACAGGTGAGAGCCTAACAAGAGTCAGGTGATAGGTACAGTTTAGTATATAAACTAAACCCTTTATCAGCAATGGCCTATAGGATTCTTCCTTGTTTGTCTATCTGGCCTAGAGTTCTACAGTGGAGTCTTATAGTTTGATTCAATTCCCTTGAGTCCTTCAAGACTCTTATATTATAGCAAAGTTTTTTATGGTTCTTAGTCTTTGTGATTCTTTCAGTTCGAGCTAGCTTTTGTTTGCCACTTTTGGATTGTGGATTACTGGGCTGCAATCCTTTCCCCTTGGCTTCATGTGGTTGCAGCCCTAAAATTCTATTAGACTTAGACTCAGACTTAGGGACAACACACCAAGCTGTCCTCCTCCCCTCTTACTCGGCTCCACAGATCAACATCCAGCTCCAACTCTGGTTTAGGTGTGGTGTGGAGGCCATGCATGAGAAAAGGAGCTCCACATTGGCTTCTCATTCGAGATGTCGAGCATGTAAGTGTCACTAAGCAGCACCCCAAGTTGGCACATCTGCCATATACAACCAACCAATACTAGATATCATTGTATGAGCAAAGGTTAGTCTAGAATGAGTGGAGGATCAAACTAACTACCTCTATAATTATTTTTTTCTTCTGATTTTCTTCTCTTTCTTTTTTCTCAAACACAAGCAGATGCAGGCCATATGCAGGTTAGGCATTTTCTTAGATGACTCATCTCCAAGGGGAATATTGTCAGAAATCCAGCTCAGGTTCAGGCTTAGGTAATCAAGCATAGTTCAAGCTTAGGGAATTGATCAGGTTCAATTGACAGGCAAGAGCTTAACAAAGCTGAAGCAAAATGTGACAAGAACCTAAGGATAGGTTCCAGATTTTTGCATTGCCAGACAGCTCAAAGCAACAAAAGCAGTAATGGGACTTAAAACTTGCAATAGAGATAGGGCTTTGCAATTGGGAAGAAGGGCTCACATAGGTATTTGTTGTTATAAACTGGAGAGTAGCTAAGTTATATCGACCTGCCTAGTTGATTTTTATTGCAAACTTAGAAGTGTGGTTCTGGCTTAAAAGGTTTTTGACTAGATGTCATTGAAAGATCTTGTGGTGTGGATGGGACTTGTAGTTGGATATGGTTGCCAAGGAGATGTTGCCTTTATGTTTTAAGACTTTCACAACATGTGAGATCTCAACTTTCATCCTAATAGCTTTACATTCCTCTTGATCACTAACACTTGCAGCCATGTGGGG